TTTCCCGTTGCCGATGTTGGGAAGGAACTTAACAAATCTAAACCCACACGATGAAACTACTCGGCTGGGACTTCAATAGGTTGAAGGTGACCGGCAGGGAGAGACGTAGGCTTCTTTCGACGCTGGCACAGGTCACACGCTGCAACATAGCGGCGAACGGAACGATAAAAGCCCTTCCAGAATACCCGTCGGCGGGCGCGATCATGGGTTCTGGAGACACCTAAATGTTCGGCAGTTAGGGCGTTGGGAAGTTCTTGCAAGATGTCCTTGCGGAGATGACGTGAGACGACGAGCAAAAGTTCCGTGCCATCGGGCTGTAAGTTGCGGTGGTACAAAACGTTGTCTTGAAGAAAAAATAGGCTCAGTGAAAAATCCTTATGGTCGAATTGAAGACGGTCAATCATCAATAGCAGCGATGGATCTCGGTGTTGTTCCTCGACTATTTGCAGAAAATCTGTAATGGCTAGCATGTTGGCAGCAGCTTCTAACTCAAAGGAGTCAGGTGGATCAACAGGATGACGAGATAAGCAGTCGGCACCGCTGTGAAGCTTGCCAGACTTATAAACTACAGAGAACGTGTACTCTTGCAATCGCAATGCCCATCGCCCGAGTCTTCCTGTGGGGTCCTCAAGGGTTGACAGCAAGCAGGAACGTGCGTCTATATAAGTACGGACGAAATTTTGCAATTGCCCAGATGAGAGCCAGGCACTCTCGCTCAGTAATTGAATAGCTCCTTTCCGACTGAGAAAGTAGGCGGCTGGAGTAAGCTATGACAAGGTTTGTGCCGTTCTGCATTTGTGTGAGTATTGCCCCTATGTGATGGCCACTTGCGTCGGTGCGTAGCTCTGTTCAAGTGGCTGGGTCAAAATGAGCCAACACAGGTGGAGATGTGAGCGCAGAAATCAACGGCGCGAAGGAATGTTCTTGGTCTTCACGCCAGGAAAAAGCCACGTTCTTTTTTAGGAGAACCGTGAGGGGCCGAGCAATTTCCGCGAAGTTGCTGACAAAGCGACAGAAATACGAACAGAGTCCCGAAAAGCTGCGGACTTCTTGCGTGGAACGTGGGACTGGAAACTCGCGCACCGCGCGGACTTTATCAGGGTCGGGTCTTACACCAGCAGCGTCAGCAAGGTGGTCAAGCAGATTTATTATACGGTGGCCAAAGGTGCACTTAGACGCATTAAGCTGGAGGCCAGCACAGCGAAAAACGTCAAGCATGGCCGACAGACGTGGAAGATGGCTTTAGAAGGTTGGCGAGAAAACGATGGCATTGTCTAGATAGCACAGGCACGTCGATCATTTAAAACTGCGAAGGAGGGAGTCTATCATGCATACAAATGTTGCTGGCGCATTTCACAACCCAAAAGGCATGACTTTAAATTTAAAGCCCGTCGGGCGTTATGAATGCCGTCTTCTTGCGGTCGTGGTCATCGACTGAAGTTGGCCAATATCCAGATCGTAAGTTCATGAAAGAGAAATACTTAGCACCATGAAGGCAGTCAAGCGCATCATCAATTCGAGGTAGAGGATAGACATTCTTGGTTATTCGATTGAGACGGCAATAGTCGACGCAGAGCCGCCAGGTGTTGTCCTTCTTTTTAACAAGCACAACAGGTGGAGCCCAAGTAGTGGTTGAAGGCTCTATGACGTCTTTGTCGATCATTTTTTCTACCTCCTTCTGGATTATATTTGGTGCTCTGAATGAGACACACGGTGTAAGGACGCTTATGAAGGGGACTGGCGTCGCCAGTGTCGATACGGTGAGCTACGACGCTCGTGCGGCCCAAGGAACGGTCGTCAATATCAAAAATGTCGAGGTAAGAAAATAGAAGACCGCGGAGCGCTTCAACTTGGGACGGCGACCGGTAGTTTGATACCATTTTGGCTAGGAAAGCTCTATTATGTGTGGCTGCGACAGGTACGGCTACGGTCTTGATGTCAGGAGTAAGAGATAAAATTGTACATTGCTCCAGAGTGGAGAGTTCTGCTAAGACAATACTTCGAGGAATGACATGGGTCGACCCGGAGAAGTTGAAGACAGCGAGAACGTCTCGTTGTCGCTAATCTTCACTATAGTATGAGGAAGTATGATGTTCCGGGAAAGAGTCAGGTCAATGAGTGGGGCTGCTAAGTAGTCGCCAGAAGGAACAGGTGGGAACGGCGACATAGAAATTTACACAGCAGCCTGAGGCGGCAATCGTAGACACTCCACGGACCGTAGCCGTGTGCGAGCTGCAGGAGGGACATCAGAGTACAAAGGCAACTCTAGCTGTAAAGTTCCGATTAAACAATCAATGAGGGCTGAATGCGCGGTCAGGAAGTCAATTTTGAGAATCGCGTCGTATGGGCAAGCGTCTAGAACAGCGAAGAGGACTGAAGTGTGAAGGCCGGCAACAGTGACGCGGGCAGTGCACATACCAAGAACTGATGTTCGGCTGCCGTCGGCTACTCGCACAGTCGGAGACATGGCAGGGGTAAGAGCTTTTTGCAGGCGGGATCGAAGACGTGAACTCATAACGGATATGTGGGCACCAGTGTCTATTAGAGCTGTAACGTTCAGGCCATCGATAATAACACCAAGTAAATTTCGTCTGGAATTAGTGGTCGGTAGAGGTTTTGCGGTTTGAGTTGTCAATGCAGTGCCACCTCCAGGAGCTGCATCTGTTTGTCTCCCGAGAACTGCTCAGAATACGCCAGTGACGGGGAGCGACGGAGTTGATAGTAGCAGGGCTGGCAACCCTGAGACGACGGCGAGCGGCTGGACCGGGTTCCCTGGGCGACGACATCGGCGTAGGATGGTTCGGAGCGTTGCGTAGAACGGCTAGGTAGCAGTTCCTGAAGATGGTCATCGGAAAAACGAGGTGGTAAATACTGCCCACGATTCTGTTGGTGGTCGTCTAGAAAGCGTTGCCAGAAAGGCCACCTGTTGTGGCAGTGGCGTGAAATGTGGCCAACGCGATGGCAAGAGAAGTATAACGGTTGATCATCTTGTGTGCGTCACTCAGATGGATTTCGGTAGCGTGATGAGAACCGCGGGACCGACGTGGCAGCAGCAAGTGGGGCGGCGTGGTAGTGAGCGTTATGATTTATCATGTATGGGCTGCGGTGTGTGGCTGGTGTTCTGGGGAACTAAGACGCCCATATTTGCAAACCCTTGTCGCAGAACAGCCTGAATAAGAGATATTGGGGCTGAGTTGTCAGGCACAGGGGGTTGATAAGCGGAAGGAGCCATTGCTTTCAGCTCCTGGCGGACAATTCTTGTGATGTTAGGAGGATTCACGAATTGACGTGGCGCCACAGGATCCTCGCAGGAAGAAGTCGCAACGGTGTTCGGGAGTCGAAAAAAACGCTGCGTGATTCTCTTGCTTTTGGCTTGTTCGAACCACCGACATTCACTGACAATTGAGTCAATGGTGGGACAGTTCTTGCATATCAGAATGTTGAAGGCATCGTCAGCTAGGCCTTTCAACACATTGCTGACCTTGTCTAGTTTGGTCATGTCTTTGTCGGCCTTCCTACGCAACGCGAGCGCGTCTTGGATATAGGTGACGTACGACTCGGTGGAAGATTGAACTCGTGATGCGAGTTCCTGCCTGGCTGCCATTTGTCGAGCAACTGACCGGCCAAACAAGTCACGGAGCTTCTACTTGCACTCGTCCCAACTCGTCAGGTCTTCCTCATGCGTCTCGTACCAGGCGCGTGCAGTACCTCGCAGGTAAAAGACGATGTTGGCCAGCATAAGCGTCTCATCCCACCTGTATTGCTTGGAAACGCGCTCGTATAAGGTGAGCCACTCGTCGACGTCAGTTGTGTCCGTGCCAAAAAATTCACATGGATCGAGAAGATGGGAAGGGATCAAAGGTGACGGAGCAGGCGTAGACTGAACGGACGGCGCACTGCCTTCAGACATCGTGGCTGGACGAAGCTGACGTCCGCTACGGAGATGCAGAGTCGGAATGTTACCCAAAACTTCCACCAAAAATATGTAACGGGGAGTATTTAATAAGTGAACGCCGGGTGGGCTAACACTGCGCACAGTATGCAAGGATGCAGGACAACAGGGCAGTTCAGACCCAGCCCCACAACAACATCGTCGTCTTCATTCCGTCTGCGTTGTTTCTGCACCTGTGCCTGAGGTACCTTTCTATTCCCATGACAATATAATGGTGTTGCATGTCCGACTGCAGTAAAACATCAAAATACTATTATGACTATTATGTTCATTGCTGTTATAATAATATAATGTTGTTGATTAGAGTGACTTTGGGCAAGTGGTAGGAAGGAATAAACTTTGTTGTTTGAAACGGTGTAATGGTAAAGGTTCCGCTTCTACCCTAGGTGTGAGATCGACTCATTCCAGGAACGTTCTGGCCTTCGCTGCCTCCATGGCCCCTGGGTCGTGGCCAGTTCTGGCCCTTAGAGGCGAGCTTGGCCTCCCACGTTACGAGAAGCTGTTTGTCTTCTTGAACAGCGTCACAAGTATTCGGCGGGGGTGATAGGTCTGCATGTGTGTCGCATGAACACTCGAGGATCTTGTGGGCCAACGTTTCAGGTAGGGCGCAAGTCGGGAAAAATATTTGTGTAATCTTAGGTACAATCGGTGAATTAGTGTACCGTGTGCGTACGTGTTGCTCTGCAGCCTTCTTAGTATGTTGCTGTCCTCTTTGTTGAGGTTAGAATGTGGTGGTGGGCACTCTGTACGTGCCAGTCTTTGGCGTTGTGGTATTGCTGGGTAGGTGATTGGTACGGGTTTAGCCTCTGCTGACAAAGCCCTGGTGACTGGAGAGCAGGAACGGATAGTCTGTCAGGCGTGATCATGGACCGTGGCGTGATCCTCTTCGTTCCCCTCCAGCCCTTCGTGCCCACTTTTCAGCGCAAATTCTTAACCCTTAAAAAAGCAGTTTTTGAAACGAATGCTTCCAGAATAGCAGCGAACACGCTCATAAACTACACATGAAGACACCTTTTGCATGAATTTTTTTTAAATTGTTCTTGTGCAGTTGCTCAAGAGGCCGCAGAATGTTTTCCTCTTGGGAACATCGAATGAAGTACAGCGTGGAACTCATGCGACAACGTGCGTTAAAGCAGCATATAGGTACCATAATCATTACAATAATGAATATGAATGGGAGCTATTTATCGAGCAAACGAGCAAGGTGAGTTCACAGATCCTGTTCATTTTACCCATACGATTGCAGGTTTTCCTGAAGTAATAATGGAGGCATCTTCGCGTGGCTGCCCAACTACTGTCATATTCACCCTACGTAGTTGTCGAATATGAGAGAAGCCGTGGCCTACTCGCACGTTTGGCGAGAAAACGTTCTTTTTCCAGGGAGAATCTTAAGGCATTCTTGAGGAGAAAACTTGCTGAAAAAGCAGTTGGCCAGATGGAAGCAAAATAAAAGCATATAAGTGAGGTTATTTACTAGCCAACGGCAACGCCGGATGCTGAAATTCGACTGTATGTTCCCCAAAGCTTCTTTCTTGTCTTTACCTTTCAAGCAGCAGCCTCCACGAACATTTTCTCTAAATGAAGCAAGTAAAGTAGTTCTTGTTTAGGAGCTTTCATTGATAGCATTCTACAATTAGAGTTAGATTATATCAGCGAAACGTATAGAAAGCGTGTAAGAACCTTCTTCATGGCTCTATGAATATCATAACTCACCGGAAGAGTGCAACATTGCCGATATTGAAAAGGGCCAAGAAAAAAATGTTTTATGCAATGTTGTAACTGCATAATGATAGGGCACACTCTAGTGATAAGTGCATTGTTAACGAAGAAATTTACCCTCCTCGATACCTTTCTTTCCCGCTCTTCCCTTGCCTAATGCAAGGTATACACTACCGGGGCTCAACCCAGGTCCCACCTTTCTCCCTATTTTTTTCTCTCTCTCTCCCTATGATATTTGTAATATATTGAACTATGTTTCAAATGCCTACAAAATGGTAAAACTTGGAAGGACAAATTGCTGGTATAGTTGGTATGCCATGATTAAACAACGCAAAAAAGATTATTGAAAGAAATAAAGGTGACAACATGTGTGCTCGTGTTGTCGCCTTGTTTGTTTGTCATTTCTTTTTTTGCCTTTTTGTTATTAGAGTGGTACAAATCGCTCAGTGCTGTGTGAAGAAAGCGCGTTAGCTAAGTATATGTTAAGCGCGTCACTACACCGCTAAATTAAACGAACGACAGGTGGTTACAAGTGCGGTGGCTGTTTTCGGGCGTTTTTCTGCTTTGTGGTCGGCAAAGCTGGTCAGGTTGGGCAGGCGCGCGGCCGTTCTAGATGTGTCTTCAGAGCGGCCGGGTTATGGTATACACGAAAGCTGTCAAGCCACATTTTCTCTCGCTTAACTTTCTGACATATATCTCATCGTTGACATAAGTGCGTCCTGGTCACAGGCGATGGTCAAGGTGTCTCGGTCGTCGAGGGCCGCCGAGCTGAAACACGCTGTTTGCGCAGTTAGTGAAAACATTGGTAGAAGGTCACAATCTCAGACGAGATGCGTGGGTGTCAAGCCACCATTTGGCAAGAATGGTCCTGAATGCTTTTAGAAATGCGTTCAGTATTACCCAGCCCACTCTTGCAAGGGGCCGGGTGCTTGCACAGGTCGAGATGTCTTTGATGAATTTCGTCTAATTTTCGTCCCGCTGCTTTGTGCACTTGCATGTGCGCGTAATCACTCTTCGACGCGGAACTTTCATCTTGCTGGGTGTCGCAACCTATGTGGGAAACTCTTTTAAGAATTGGCCTAAGTAGTTAAGTAAGTCGTACTCTTGACTACTGAACGAAATGTTTGTGACATCTTTCAGGTAATGTGGCACATACAACGGCTGTGAAGGGTAGGTTTTCGTGGTCATGTGTGCTCGCCCTTTCATATTGATACATAACAGCCGCTAAACTCGGTTGCATGAAAGAAGAGGACGAAGTTAGTTTTTGGTTGATGCTGGACTGGCGCCATCTTGCTCGTCTTGGAGAGTGGCAATATTGGCTAGGGAAGAACTGTGGTAGAACTTGGGTGGTGAGTGAGAAGTCTACCAGATGAAGGAAGGTGCGGTTTATCGTAGTCGTCAGAATCATATACGGTACAGCAACCCCATGCGAAAGCATTACGGCAGGAATCAGGGCCACCATGTAATCACCGTTAGGTACTGGTGGCATGTAGAATAAGTCGATATGTGTGACATAGTCGGGTGGGAGGCGCGTGAAATCAATGCAGCAGAAGCTGGTTTGTGGTGGGCTGGTCGGATCGGAAAAGAGAGGTAAATTGAGATAAAGAGATCCAGCTGAACAGTTTATGAGGGCAAAGTGCGTGGCTAGAAAATCCATACCAAGAGTGAGTTGATGAGGGCAATGTTAGATAACGGCGAAAAGAATGACAGTGCTTCACTCCCCAATAGAAACTCGTGCAGAGAACATGCAAACAATTGGGGCAGTTCTTCCATCGGCGACTCGTACAGGGCGTGACAACTTTTTAAGTCGGCGGCGAAGGTTAGCACTCATAATGGACACATGCGCGCCAGTATCTATCAATGCGCTGGCACGAACACTGTCGACCGTAACGTCGAAAAGGTTCTGGATCGTCGTTAACGTTAAGCGAGGATTTCCTATGAAGGCCGTCAATGCAGCTCCATTTCCAGAAGCTGCACGGCCTAGTTTTCTGGTCGGAGGTGCTGCGAATAGGTCGGGGAGACAGCACGGCGTTGTGGGGATGACCGGGACGGACGACGAGCAGGGGACGGGGACCGGTCATACCGATGTCTGCTCAGAGGTGCATCAGAAGCGAAAAATGTGCTGGGAATTGAAGAAGAAAGTGATAGGAACGACTGGCGGGCAGAAGTGGCATAAGACTGAGGTGCATAATGTGGCGGTGGAGCCGAGCGATTAAGGCAGTGACGAGCGATATATCCACCGCGTCAACAGTTAAAACATATGGGCCTGTCATCCAGGGTACGCCATTCGGACGTATTGCGTTGGATGCGAGGAGCAGAAGGGGGACGATAAGAATTAGGGCTCAGCAGAGTATACGGCAGGAACAGGTTGTAGGCCGACAATCAATAGCTCCGGATGAACGACGACTTGAATCAAAGAGATCGTGGTCGGGGAAGGCGCAGGCGTCGGAAATGACGTGGCTACTGGTTGTGCTCCTTCGACCTCTCGACGAATGATGCGTACGAGGTTGTCACATTGAGGGTCCTGGGGGAAGGCGTCGGCATACGAAGACGTCGGCGCTGTGTTCGGAAGGCACGTGATTCTTTGGGCTAAGCGGCGGGCTTTAGCTTGTTCGAAACGTCGGCATTCTTTGAAGATGGTGCCGATGCTCGAGACGTTGTTAAAAATCAGCAGGTTCGAAGCATCGCCGGCGATGCCTTTCAAAGCATAGGTCAGTTTTTGGCGCTTTCGAGCGTGGTTTAATCTCCATGAAAGCCCTGCGCGTGCTCCAGAGCGGTGGCCGCGACGATATCAAGCACCACGTACTGATCTGGTTTCCTGCACATGTTGGACAGGCCAATGGTGCTCCCCTCAACCTAAACGAGTCTGCCCACGAGGCCGCGCGCGCGCTAACCGACCACGCCGGTACCGGGCAGCGATTCGGGGACGACGGGGTTGCGAAAAACAGGGACGCGCCTGCCACGTACAACGAAATAACAAAACATTTTTACCACGCGCGAAGACTATATTCACTCCCTCATCCAAAACGTAATAGGCCACAGGCCCTTACGTTCAGACTACCGCAGACCGACACGTACCCTAACCTGAGATACCTTCACGCTATTTATCCTGACGTGTTCCCCATTGACGCTTGCGCCGCATGTGGGAGATGTATCCACGCGGGCGCACATGCTCTCGGAGTGCAAGGCAATGTACCCTAACCCTAACACTACATCGGTCAGGTGGGAGGTGGTCCTACACAGCTCTTTCCTGGCCGACCAACTTTGGGCCGTCCAGCAGGCCCGTGGAGCGGCCGACAGGCTTGGCCTAACGGTCCCGACGTGGGAGTCGCCCGCTGTGCGCTGATGCGTGCCTTGCAGGACCACAATAAAGTTTCGCAACAAACCAACCATTAGGAGATACATAGGAGATACTAGCTAGATTGAAACCAAAGCTTTGTGCTGTGTCAGCAAGCGATAATTATTCATGTGTCTAAAAGGCTGACGAACGTGACTTGAGCTGTCAGTTTCATGATAAATGACTTTTCACAGAAATTTCTACTGACTACAGCTTTTCGGTCGCATGCTGTAGTTTCATATTATTGTCTTTATAGTGCAACAAATGCATCAATGTCGGCACATACACCACATCAGTCTCACGCATGACGCCGTTGCTGCCACACTAGCACGACAAATTATGCCTTTTTATAGATTAATATTTGAAGGTGTAATTGTACTGATGTGCATAATTTGTGCTCCCGCAAATGTTGTTTCCTTTTTTGTACGTATACCTTGTATATATATGCCTGAATATGTCAGTTCAGCATTGCACAGCTAAAGCTGCTTTACAGTTGCAGCTGCATTAGAGAGGGAGACATACTGGTGGCTCGTAACTGAAGGACAGCGACGTCATTTAGAAACGGTTTTCTGTGGTGAGTGTAGATAAATTTTTCACTCGCTTGTTTCTGGGGAATAAAACTGGAGAGTATTTAGTAGCAAACTTTTTCGTGAGCGTATAATTTACGTTCACAATTGGCTTAACAATGTTTTTGCCTTTGTATACCAGGACGAATGTGTAGTGCTTAGAGTGCTGGACGGCTCACCAGCAAGTTGGGGGGATCAAATTCGGTTCGCGGCGGCAGCATTTTCGATGGTGGTGAATGTGATTGAAGCCGGTGTACTTAGACTTAAACGCATTGTTGAGACGTTTATTGGCTGACACTTGTCGACGATGCTTGACAGCGACAGTCAATGCGGGTACCGACTCTCTGCACGAGCTGCTCTTCTTTTTGCTAAAAGGGCGACCCACTAGAAGGCGCTGGAGAGGATGACCCACTGTTCGAAGGCTTCGCCACAACTACCCCGGGTACGAAGTGGGAGCCGCCTGGCGAACTAACAGCTGGTTACTATGAGCGGGTCGTGGTAGGCTTTGAGGCACTCCCCGTTAACAATGTCGCGCCCTCGACGGCGCATGTCTGAAGGTGGTTCGATGGGTTCGATCAAGTAA